TGAGTTTGACACATGTGTTCTAGATTATTAATCATATGAAATTTTGTTTTTATTGGTGACTGATTTATTTGCCAGTGTTATGAGGCTTAACCAGCACTCTGAAATAACTCAGGTGCAGCACTGCAAACATAAAGCTAAATGAAAACTCTCCATAAGTCTGTAGAAGCAGAATGTAGGGCCATTTGAAAAGACTAAAATCAATTTAAAATAAGAAATATAGAGGAATAAGGGATGAACCCTGGACATTTGCCAAGTACTGCATGTTTTAAGACACTGTTTCTTCTTGGTTTATTTGTCTCAGATGGTTGAAAGTGTTTAGCTTTCAGTCGAAAATTTCCACATGTAATATCTCTTTGATATGTGATAAAAGAGCTACTGTAGCTAGACTTTAGATTAGATTAAGTTAGACTAGACTAGATTAAAATATTTTGATTGCTACCATTACAAGTTTTGGTGAATTCTCAAATAAACTGCGACACTGAGTGTATGCTATACATTTAAAATCTTTGCAAAGCTGCAGGTTTGAAGTAAGCAGGCATGAATGAAGTTTTAGCAGCATTTGAATTGAAAGTGATGGACGCCCCATGAGTGTATGGGGCGTCCATCATTAGTTGATCTGTCTCAACTAAGATGATGAAATGTTTTAAGAAAATGTGTAAAGACTGACATCAAAGCTCGAAAAGAAGTTAATGAAAATAAATAAATAAAACCAACTTATATAATTGCAGACTTCAGGAAAGATCGCCAAAATAATGCACGGCTAATGCAGTCATCCCCACCTTGAGTGTGTACAGGCAGAAGTGAGGTCATTATAATTTCACAGTCGATGCAACTTGTGACATGGCGGGACGCCGTAGAGGCAATTAAGAGCTAAAAGAAAGCACGTTACCATGGCAGCTGGACTCGTCTGAGTGGAACGGCTGACAGTCTGCGGAGTGGTCGCAGCGCATGTGAAGCGGGACACAACCGGGCCAACTCTCACACACGAGCTCTCCCGGCTCACACTGCAGCAACGCTGGTGAAAAGATGATGACACACGAGAAGAATGAAGTGAACAGAAAGAAAGAAACTGGGGCAGTAAAAGTCAATGTTTCTAGTTCAGTTCTTTTGTTTACTTCTGTATTTTGTTCTGCAGTTGAGACTGATAGCATTGTGAAAAGCCTTCAGAAGACCCAAAACGCCACAGTGAGCGTTTTTTTATTTTTTTATTTTTTATAAAAATCTAAAGGAGAGCTCATATTTCTCCACTTCTAACTTCTCTCCCTGCTGATTTCTGAGTGGAATTTTAAATTCTTCTTTGTACATTTGGAGGTCTGAATCACCAAGCTCCACCTTGTGCTGGAGATTTATGGACTCATTTTTTGTTTCTCCCAGACTGTGGGTTTGCTGGTGGGTCCTGGGGTTTTTAAAAGCCGAGAGGGAGTCACATCATTCGCTCCTTAGGTTTCTCCAGATCAGGCTGAAAGTTTTCTTTCTTTTTTTTTTTTTAGGTAGATTGGCTTAAACTAAGCTGCTGGGGAGCATAGTGGCCATTTTTCCTGACCCTGTTGTTTCCTCCAATATACATTACCTACAGTTGTTGCTGTCATAACGTTTTGTTCTGTAGAGTCTGTTTCTTTCCATGACAAAGTAATAAAGTAGGTCAAACTAATCATAATCGTCTAATAACTGCTCTTCATTCTTGCATACACAGTTTAACATAGTGAGATCTGATGCAACATGTGCATGGATATCAGTTTTTCTGAGTTTCTGATTTTCCTTTCATCTCTCAACATGCATGGTGGGTATAAAATTATTATTCTGAAAACGTATAAACATTGAATTTTCTAATATAAAAAGAAAATTATTTATAGTTACAACCAAAGGTTTGGTCTGTCTAATGGATTTTATTTCATGTTTTCATTTTTGCAAAATAAATAATTAACAGTTTAATGTTTCCCAGAAAGCCCTTTTTTTCCCCATGTATTCATTCGCAAATACATTAAACTTTTTTTCATATTTATTCCCCCTCCCATGTAAACATTAATTATCACAAAATGTCTTAAAGAAACGCAGTAGATGTTTCCAAATAACAACGGGACCATAAACTCACGGCAGCTGTGTTCGTCCTCTCCGTTGGGGCAGTCGTAAACCCCGTCGCAGCGCAGTAAGGCAGGGAGACACCGAAGGTCCGAACACTGGAAATTCTCGTCGGGACAGTCGCCTTGAGGAGGAACGGTTCCAGGCAGGGCAGTCGGGCAGCGCTCTTCATCAGACTGATCCGCGCAGTCCGGAGAGCCATCACACCACCAGGTCTTTGGGATGCACTGGAACGAGTGCGTGCACTGGAACTGGTCAGCGTCACAGGTCAAAGGCTGAGGGGTTAATGGTCCTGGGATGGAGATACAAGTAAATGTAAAACTTAATCTTCTTTATAGATTTTTTTTTTTTTTTTTTGCTTACACAAATAAAACATCCTTCCCTGGGGAAACTCTGATGGCTGCTTGAAACAGAAACAGGATTTTTTTTTTTTTTTTAGGTTTTCAAAGTCTTTGGAAAGTCAGTTGAGAGAAGCGAAGAGTGAGCAGAGAGGTGAGGCTGAGGAAACAACACAATATAAATGTAATTGCTTTTCCTCCAGTTGTGCTAACTCTCAGCATTGACCTGATCTCCAGAGTGAATTTATACGGACCCACAGGGCAACAGGCTGCACTGACTCTCTCCCCCTCTCCCCGAGGGTTCGCCTTGTTTATGAGGAAACCCAGGAATGGAGGGTGGAACGTCAGAGCACAAAGGGAAAGGGAGAAGCTGGAGAAGGTGAAAACGGGAGGAAATGAAAAATGAGGGCAGTAGCAGAAGCGGAAGAAACCAGGAGAGAGGCAAAATGAGAGAGCAAAGAGGCCAAATAAAACTTTAATATCTTTTACCTCCGACCACACACTCTGCTGTGTACGAGATATCGTCCAGGGCGATGTCCGTCCACATGTCTCCACCCACCTCCGCCTGGAAAGTCACTCTGAAATCTTTTGTGTTAGACAGGACGACGTTGGCATATGTCCACTGGTTTCCATGGTTTCCAGTAGTGGCCCACATAAGCAAAGGTGTCCCATTAGCTCCAACGGTATAAACCTAACGTGTTGGGGGACATGAGGTTAAAAATGTATTGTACTACATTGGTAATACATTTTATCACAGAGAACCCAATATGATGAAGAACCTATTAGTTGGTGGAGGAAGCTTGATGCTTTTAATAATATAAAGCAGTAATACTATAACAAATTAGACTTTGTGTTTGTTGTGTCTTAGGATTGTAATGCTTTTAGTCTCCAAAATGTTTCTGATTCAACACCTATCTGCAGGTATAGCAGTTACCCTTTATATCTCCAATATCCTTTTTGCTTCTTGCACTTTATGCCCTGACATATTCTTTCCTTCAAAACTTTCTTGGCTTTTCAAAGGTCTAATAAGGCTTGTTTTTCAGCTATTTGTTTTTTGAAGGTAATCTGATAAACATATGTGTCCAGAAAAAGACAAACGTGACAAATTAAGATTGTAAGTGGAGCTGCTTGGAGCCTTTATTTGTCATTTTTTCGGTGAGTATGCACTGTTTGGCAGACAGCAATGTGCAAAGTTGGCTTGGGTCAAACAAAACATACATTTGTGATAAATTAAAGATTTATTTTTTTTTTTAGTAATTTCTGTTGACAGGATCACCTTCAGGGTTCCCATTTTGGGCGAGCCGTACATGAAGAACCAAAAGCGCAGGTGACATAGACCGATGCTGGCAGGAAATGGGTTCGTCGTCGTCACCTTGGCAACATCACCCTCCCTTTGAGTGGCTGAATGTATGTACAGAAAGTTCCCACCGCCATCTACGGAGATAGATGCAATCGATGTAACATTCATGTAAGCTAGGACTTAAAGATTTCACAAAAGCCGTCCAGTTTCAGCTCCACTGACAACAAAACACGGTATGTTTGGACAGGAGAGGATTGCTGTGAAATGGTGATGCCTGCAGCCAAATACTGCAGAGAGCTTCTTCAGCTTGGCTACACTCGGAGATGAAACAGCCTCTGTGCAAAGCCAGAACAAAGTGGGAGTTTTCCACATGAATTAGGAGGAATTTAAAGTCATCACAACCCACAGCGGACAGCAAACCCTTCTCCCGCCCACAACACTTGATCCTCCTGTGGCTCAAAAACAAAACAAAGAAAAAAAAAAAACACCCAAAGACTGTTGTCATGGATCAGCTCTGCACACGTGTTGATCCAGCTTATAATGTGACTACAGGAAGACTACACAATCGCTGTCCTTGTTTTCAACTTCACTGATGTGCCGCAATGAAGGGAGCAAGCAATGAATGAGCACATTCATCTTTACAGTCGATAAAAACAGTTGGCCTGCAGAAGGCGATGAAAGAGTTAAGAGTTGCAATTGGAAACAGATTTAGCCCCAGGTTTGTCGTCCAGGAGGTAAAACAAGCAGGATGTGATATAACGAGTAAACAGTATCTGTGCAATCAAGAACAATTTTACCTTTCTGTACAAGAACCACAATAAGGAAGCCTCACATATCCCTCTAAACCACGAGAAGCGTAGCATGCAAGCCAAAGGAGCTTCCTCCCACGCCTGGCGGCGGCTGATGGATGTGGAGTAAACAACTTTCCAGAAACAACAGCAAACAGTATTGTATTCTTTCATCAACCAGAGGTGCCTGCAGATGTTGTCAGCTAAAGCAATGAGATGAGAAAAAGAGCGAATGATGTGGCAGATAATGAATCTCTGTTTGCCGAGTACAAGTTAGCGTTAGCACTAAGCAACTTAACAGCAGCTTCTTACACAAACAACAGCAGAGAACAATTCAAAAGCGTCGAAGGATGAAGACAGAAATAAATAAATGATCAGAAACCAAGTTTATATGTTTATATGTAAAGGCTGCATCAGTGCTACAGTATAGCTAGTCTCAATAGGAAGTTAGAAAAGTGGCACGATCTCTCTTCCTCATGAGCTTCGAAGTTGTAGCATTATTTCTGAGTCATTATTGACATTTGCCATGTGGCAACAATTTAATTAGACTATTTCTGTTTTAGTATTGTTCTTGTTTGCTTTAGTACTACAGCCATAAAAAGCTCTTGCATTAATTAGCCCTCTACTGCCAGCTTTTGAGGGATCCCAAGGCTGCTACTGCTAATGTTCAATTGGGATAGTATGATGATTAATTGTCTGCTGATGAAGACTCTTAGTCGCAAATTCACTGCAACTAAGGTACGTTTTTTTTTCTAATATGTATGGTTGAAAAGAAAAATCTTAATATAGCATACCACGTAATTTACCTTGACAAGAAAAAATCTCCCTAAACGTGCTCATTCCTTTTTTATGTAAATCATTTGTTTATGCTGCTCATTTTATCATCATCTCTGCAGAAGACAAACAAGGAACAAACTACAAAATACTGAAACTCAGGAAAAAAAAAAACATCTGAGTACAGTTACATTTTCTTATGTAGACCAAACTAACTGTAACCTTTTTATTAGAACAAAAGTATGTAGAAAGCCTAAACAAGGCCAGGTTCTTTTAAGCTCTGTTTAACTCTGACTGGTTTTCATCTGGATGTTTCTGTTAACCCTGCCTTCACAGGCTCCTCTGAAGTTTTTGTTTCCCAGCTGCCAAGTTGCAAGTACAAAGACACTGCAGAGTGCTGCCAGAAAGCCGCAAACATCGAGGGTGTCGGGGAAAACAGACGTTGTTGTTTTTGTCGTTTTGACAGAATTAATAATATTTCGGTGCAAAGCACCAAACAATAACGCCTGGTCTGGTACTGGGACAACTTCAGAGTAGATGGTTGGAAAATTAAGAGAGCAGATTTTGATGTAAATCTGAGTGAGGTTTTATTACATTCAGGTAGAGTAATAAAACAAACCTATTACCACATAGCTTCTTTCAGTGGTACAAAAAAGTATTTACAACCCTACAGATATGTTCTATATTAACAATCGTTTGAAGGAGAATGAGGCTTTGACCTATGAGTTCAGTATGAGTCTTGAAAGTCATTCTCAGTCTTTTTGGACAGCTCTAGTATCCTGAAACATAGACGCAGAACTCCAATCAAGCAGATAATTTCTACATCAACCTAGCAACATTATTCTGAGCTTTCACTATTAAGCTACTGCTAGATGGCTTTGATCCATTTTTTTTTTTTTTAAACGTGACTAATAAAGCATGCATTTCAGTACATATGCAGACCTGGACTGTGGTCAGACTGAGGTCCAACTCCTGTCTCTGTCTTGTGGCCGATCCTCCAGTCAAAGTCATCGTCAGGGTCCTGAGAGAGCTGGCAGACCTGCTCCCACCTGTCGTCCTCCATGTTGAAGCCACAAGCACCCGGTGAGCCAAATATGTAGTCTAGAAGTAAAGAAAGATAACAGAAAAATGGGAAACAAGTAATGAAAGCAGTTATTTGTCTTTGCTCTGATGGACTCATTCTCACCACCAAATACAATTATTTCCTCTTTTCACTTACCACAGTCCTTCTCATCTGATTCATCGGCACAGTCGGCCTTGTTGTCGCACACCAGGTGGGACTCTATGCAATGGCCGCTCTCACACACAAAGTCTGTGGCTGCAGGACATCTACCTGGCTCCACAGCGCCTGAAACATGAATGGTAAACAAGGAAGGAAGGAAGAGAGGGACAAAGGAAAGACAGAAAGATGGCGTCTTTTTTTTGATACTCCATTTCAAAAAACCTATCTTGTTTTCCAGACTCGTAAAACACTGGAATCACATTTTGTACTTTTCAAAACTGCATGCAGACACTGGGTGAAGGGAAAAAAAAGGCAAATCTGCACTATACTCCTCAGTCTGAATGTTTGTGAGCTGTTAAACTTCAAACATAGAGCATTTAATGAAAACCATGATTAGGGGTGAGAGGGGTGAGTTAAACTTCCTGGAGGTCAGCAGGGATAAACCCATCACAGAGTAAACTGAAAAACCATTTCGGCTTCCATTTGAAGTTGATGGAGACTTGTGTGTTTGAGTAATTTGCTTTTGGACAGACAGATTGTCTGCTTGTCAGTCTTTGCATACCCTCCCCTCTGTGTGTTTTGATGTACGTCTCAACTGAACCAGAGGTCAGTATTTATTCCCCCCGCCCCCATAAGTGTGTTTATGCCTGTGCGCTTCAGAGAGAAACGGCCTTGATAGAGCAGGACGTTGTCCAACCTCACGTCAGGTCCAGTTTAATGTGGAGCATCTGTCTCGGACACAAACATCTACCGCAGCCTGACAGCAAACGTTAGCGCTGAAACATGCTTCCCTTCAACACTCACCAGCTCTCCGGTTTTCCAGAATGCACTTCATTGCAAAAGCCGTCAGCTGGAGCAGTCGTTAAATATGTTGACTTACAAAGATTAGGAAATATACTTTTAAATTAAAAAGGGCGAGGAAACTATATAACTCATTCTTGAAATATTTTTTTTATTTTAAAGTTTCTACGTCACCTACCCTACTTTTCCAGTCAGGTCTTGCTTTTCCTCATTCCTTACTGATAGAAAACTCAGTTCACTGTGGATAATATTGCAGTTTATAATGGCAGATGTTAAAGTGCTGTGGTTCTTGGGTTTTTCCTTAACATTCTCAGAAATGTAATTTAATCTTATGAGGGCAGTTTGGATCTTCTTTCAGACGTGTATTTGTTGGAAATGACGAGCTTGAAATCTGCCGTTCCACAAATATTTGCCAACATGGCCGGTCCAGTTGTTCATTTTCTCAATGCAATGTGAGTGAAACTGCCAGCTACAGGCAAAACGTGTTTACTGACGGGAAATTAAAGGGGCTTCACCTTGAAATAAAAGATGATGCAGAACCACTTTCTGAAACTGCGTAAACAATTGAAACCTGACACTTAAAAGCTTTAAACAAAAGGACAACCATTTCTTTCTTACTGTCTGACATTAAAGTCGACTTAATGTTTTAGGTTGCGGATGTTGGCTAAATTCCAGGTAATGAAAGAGAAAAGTTCTTAAAATGACATACTTCAAATTTGATATACACTCAGATTACTATGACTTATAGTAATTTTGGTAAGTGTGGAGAGCCAAGATAAGAAGAGAACTGTAGACCTCCACCAGCATGTTTAGTTCTTATGTGCAATTTCCAAGTGGATAAAAAACAAACAATTACACAGAATAGGTATCACATAACACCCACTGTGATCTCCAGCCTTTAAAGGGCAAAGTTTGTCTGACTTAATACGGGATAAAAGATAACGAGTCTTTTTTTTCATGTACGTATACGGTTTCCACTGTATTTGAGTTTATATGTCTAATTTCCACCCTGTGTGAATTAGATGAAATCCGCCGTTAGTCTAAACTTGCTCACCCAGATGTTCTTAAAATTCATTGCACTCAGATAAATGATTAAAAGCCACAAATTATTATGCAGTTTATATTTCAGACTTGTGTTAGAAATAATGAATCGGACTTTACCACACATTCAAAAGTGAAGTACTTCCCCTTTGTGTAAAAATCAACTAGAAGTTATGCTTTTAGCAGACATAACCCCATTTCTTGAGGTGCTGAAAACTAGTCACCCTGATCACTTTGCCAGGTGGCCCCCAAAGAAATCTCTTGTCCATTTTCCAGTTCAAGCGCCAAAAGTTTAAATATTTTCAATATGTTACGCTCACTGCCAGAAAGCTTAAAAAACACCATTGTTTTTTAACAACTGGTCTTCATCCCAGAAGATCTCACCAGATGCAACATTTGGGGTTGTCTGAGATAACGCTCATCACTTACTCGGAGCACAGTCGATGTACTCCAGGTCATCCAGGGCAGCTCCTCCGCTGACGTCTCGGGAGCGAATCCCCTCGAAAATCACTTCAAAGTTCCTGAGGTTCCTCAGGGGGACCACCGCTTGGATCCACTGGTTTCCCTGATGTCCCGTTTTATTCCACATCTCAATTAAGCTGTCCTCCATCTGCAGAGGAGAAATGACAAAGGATACACCATGTGGTAGCGTTTCACATTCTGCTCTGGTTTTTAACAAGAGGTTTCAAAGCTGCTGCAGTGATTACTGACAGAACTTCATCCTTCAAAACTCAGAGTCACGGGCCACAGGGGATATTACTGAGGAAAAATTAACTAAAAGTACGTTCTGGACTGACGGCTGCTGGGAAGCAGTGGACTTCATCTAAGAGGAGTTATTAAAGTCTCATTAACATAACATGACTGTAATAAGTTCAATGCCTGAGAGCAACTTTTCAGACTAAAAAAAAAATGCTCCGAGTTATGTCGACGAATTTGCTTCATACCACATATGGAACATATTAAGTACAAATTAGAATTTATTTTTCTGGAAGTCCACTCAGTTTTTTCCCATGATGCTACAGCTCAGGCACTAAATCATAGCTAATGTGACTTTGAAACAGGTTATGCGGATGCAGCTCTCTAGAAGCACAAACAGCATCAGTGACACAAACACGTGTTTTATTACAAATGTTCTGACCTCTGGACTTACTAAACTGAGAGTCAATAAAGAGGCAATAAAAGGCTTTTATGCTATATAAAATTTATATATAACAACATTCTGAGTTATAGAGCTTAATTAATTGGTAAATAGTCATTTTTATTGGCTTCTTAATGCACATAAAAATAAAACTGATTGGCATAATCAGTCTATATATAAGCCAAAAGACACTTGATGCTGATCCTCTTATTGTTTGCCATTACTTACTAATTTCCAGGAAATGCCCAGAAAATTTTAAACATTTTTTTTATTATTATTTATATATTGCTTTAGTTGTGCCACTAGGCTTCATTTTTTTTCTACTTGGGAAATTGCATATAAGGTAGGAACTTTAGGTTGCCTCTGAATGGCAAAACCAGACATCCCATTCCACTCGATCAATAAGTATTGGATAATAAAATCTACTAAAAGTCAATGACAGTTAACAGAGCCAAAATAAAATTAAAATCACAATCCAAATAAAAAAAAGAACACCATCAGTAATATTGATGGGGTGGAGTATAACTTTCTGTACTGTTTTTTTTTTTTTTTTTCTGATATCACTGGTAACTACAGAAAAAATGTTTTAAACATGCTTCAGAGTAGAGAATCAGTTTCAGAAGTGTAAAATGTTTAACTACTGCAGACAGAAACACTCTAATATATAAAAAAAAAAAAACAACATGATTTTACACTTGCTGAATCTGAAGTTGCAAGAGGTGACCAGAGGCTCGACTGCAGTGAGACAAGTTCTGGTCTAATATCCTGGAAAAAAAAAAAAAAAAAAAAAAAAAAAACACACAGAGGACAAGCAAAGTCACACTCTACTCTGCAGCTTGAAAGCATATTAAAATGCACCCTTGGGTGAGGCTTGTCCCCTCTGCTCTGAAGCCCTGACTTGAAATAATCTTGTTACGGCGAGAGTAGAGCACAGATTAATAGGTAGAGTTACAGCAGGACTTATTGAGATTTATGTCAGGGAGTAACGGCTCAATCTATAAAAATAGCCCAAGAGCAACGGACGAATATACCATGATGGCTCTCACTTAAAGCCTGTTTGGCATATCGGTCGAGGCATTCATTTGATTGCTTTGAGTCTTCGCCTCCTGAGCTTTCAGTTAGGGCACTGCAATCACAAATTTGGTTTAGAGCGCAAATATGTCGCAATATGTGAAACTCATTCTGATGGGTGAACCAGAAACTGAAGAAAGACACAAAGTTGTAATTCTATAAAAATGCTTATGTCGTTGAAATTTAAATGTGGTAACCGTTGAGCTAAAATCCAATTTATATTCATGGCCTCTTTCATTTTACTGAACTGCTGGGAGCTGTTTTTCTGAATGAATATTTTGCTTCTTGACCAAATAAAACAACATCAAAACAGGGAGGAGACACTACCTTGCTTTTTTTTTTCCTCTTAAGGTAAGGGTAGAGTTTTGTCTCAGGTTCAGAACATGTTTAATTGATCAGTGTTGTCATGTAACATATATTGTGGGGAGAGCATACTCTCTTGGCATTGACTAATGGCTCTCTGTAATGTCAGCCCACAAAAACCATCCAAAACGATGTAAATCTGCAAAAGAAATATACCATTGCTGTACAATATTTCGCTGAATTGTAAATTCCTTGAAGATTAAAATGTGACTTTCAGATGAAGGACATGATAGGAGATTGTAAGTTGATACAGTGCCTAGTTAACTATTCACACTAACTAATGTTTTTTGTCACCACAAGATACTGTAAAGAAGCAAAAAGCTGAAGTCCTTTTTTTATCTGGCCATCATGTAGGTAAGATGCAAAAAACAGCAGAGGTATTATCTTCATTTTTCTTAATTGGAGATTTAGTTAGCTGACGTGCTTAAACTATGCTCAACTAATTTTCACACTGTTCTTGTTAAGGGTGACTTGGCACAACACTGTCCGATCACATGGCCCTCAACATATTGCTTCAACGTCAGGCTACTCTTTTTTTTCATACTTTGTTTTCAGCGTTATTCATTTATCCCTGAGTGAATGCCAAAAGTATGAATTGAATTGCTTGTTTCTCATGTCTTTTGTGTAACAGAAAATACAAAAGGCACTGCCTTTCTGCTGAAAGGCAGAGTCTGAATTATGGCACCATTAAATAACGTAATTTCCCAGTGATCGTAACTTCCAAGAAACAATAGTCTTTTATCTGCAGAGGAGTCTCCCTCCCCTTTTTCTTTATTTCCAGCCGATGTTTCCATTTCTCTGTGTGACATCGGCCCTGGTACTTAATGACGAATGACTATTAAGAGCAAATCAAGGATCTGGTGTAACAAACTGGGCTCTTAGCAAATTTCACAGGGGACCCACCTGCAGTGATTACATGTAGGCTTTATTGCTATAAAACGTGGGCGTGTGTAAGTTTGTATTCATGCTGCAGTTACAAGCCAGTGAATTATGAAGGCTATAAATGTGCAGTAATGTTATACATGAAAGCACAATGCAATATTCTGTAAGTGTTAATGGCTTTGAACCTGGAAGGTCACACATTCACCTAATGCCAAATAAGAGCTTAAAGTTACACTGAAAATCCGATCCCCCCCCCCCCCTCCAACACAACAGCTTGACTAATTAATGCTGATTTCTAAACTTTGCACCTTCACCCACACGTTTTACTGGCTTCTTTTAATATCCACAGCAAAAGGCTAAATCTCCCTTTTTCCATCCGTATGCCAGAGAGGAGCAGATGTAAAATGGTCCACAGACATTCATCATCTCCTGCTTCTCATGCAGTCACATAATCAATAATGAGAGCCACAAAACCTGACGCAATAACTATTAAATCCCGTCATTTAAATTTCTAATATTCTACCACATTATGCTTTAAGGAAGAATCAATCGCATGAAGGGCTTAAAAACAGCTGCATTTTAAAAGAAAATGTATAAATATAATAAAATATACAAAAATACAAATATAATGTCTGTATAAAAGAGATATAGATTTTAAAAGATATGAATTTTTTTTAAACTTCTGGTTTTCAGTCAAACTCAGACTTATATTTTTATGCATCTCATTAACCAAAGTAGACAAATATGTAAAAAAACAAAAAAAAGAAAGAAAAAAAAGTAATGAAAGAAAGACGTAAACCAGTCAGTAACCAAAACCTGGCACCGACTGACAGAGAAGACACAAAAATAACTTTAAAAACAGAGTAAAACAATAAACTTTCTTGTCAGAGAAACTTTTTGCTCAAAAACAATACCAGTTTTTGAGCAAAACAACACAGTCTACTGTGTGTTATTACACTCTGATATGAATCAATAAGCATTAAACCTTGAGAACGAGCAGAGACGGACTTTTTTCAAATGTTTGGTTTGGGTTTGTTTTGGGCATAAGAGAGGATCTTCAACTCCATGCATTCCTCTCCAACATCCACTGATCAAGCACTGGAGGAAAGACGATCCACCATCCTCCCAGCACTTTACCAATTTACTTTGAACACGGGGTGAATATTTAAATGATTAAAGATCGGCTTCACTGGCTGAGTGTAACCATGGTGATCATGACTGGCAGTGGGTGAAACCAATTAATTTCTTCCTTCTTGTCTCAACCAAAACTCGCTCTACCTTGATCAGCAGCCGGATGGTCCCTGTGGCCTTATGGGAAAGGTAGTACCAGAAGGACAGCTTGCAGACAGCGCTTGACTCTTTCCAAACAGAACTCCTTATATGAGCTTTGTCGCCTTTCAGTCCCACCGGAGTGGCCTCCAGGTAGACAAAATGGCCTGGAAGGTAAGAGAAGATAAGACAAGATGAAGGAGAAAAGTAACAAGATGAGATTTTTAGAATCTATTACAGCCACTGCAAAAATTGTAGCAAGGTCAAGGAGACTGAAAGGGTGGGGGAGGGGAGGATTGAGGGCTAAGGGTCACTGCGTAATCATGAACACATCTTTTGATGTGCCACTGGCTTTTGTAAAAGGGTAGCTCAAGGTTATTTTGTTAAGGGAAATCCATAGAGAAAGAAGAAATGTTTTAACACAGCTGAATTCAAATGAAAAGAAAGCATCTGGGAGCAACATCTTTCTGTCTGGAAAAAACATCTGTGCACCGCTTCAAATTACACACTTTCACCTGTGCCTTAAATGATTTAAAGGGCATTTTTAAGCTTTATTGCTTTGCAAGAGTAAAAGTGATCGTCACTTTCTTTTATTTGATTGTGCTAATCTGTCACTTGCAGTCATTTACAATTATACCCGGGACTACACTAACAATGATTTCACAAATTACCTGGCTGTCAGTAGCTTCAAGTCTGAATATTTCTTCTCCAAAACACAACCACTTTTCTTTTCTAAAGAGGCAGGAATTTACAGATGCTGCTGTAACAACTATCCTACTTTTCTGGGATTCTCCTCTTCGGGGATAAAGGATGATTTTTAAAAAAGCAGATGTTATAAAATCGCAGATGGGATGAACCTCAATTGAGGTTTACAAATTGCAAACTGAGAGTCGCTCCAGTTTGAATCAACTGATTAGTTTTTCAGAAAACAGAAAGCAAATGCAGGCTCTGCTGGGAGAGCATGCAAAATCTAGCAGGCCTGAAGAACTCACATTAGTGCTGAGCATCACTCCACCATGCTATTGTGCAACTAATGTTTGTTAAATAACCATAACAAGACTTGCGATTTTGATGGTGCTCTAGGTAGTAGGTGCATCTTTCTTTTTCCTTTTTAGCTTTAAAGCACAACGAGAAAAGTAATCAGGAAGGAGTGGTAAGATTAAATCAAATCATTTCTTGGTTGGCTTAAATGCATAACCTGTTATCTGACGCAATATTACATTTACATTATAAAATATACTTTTTTCAGCTAATGCCAAATGCTGTTGAACTAGTATGATTGTGACCTGTATTTCTTTAGTTACTTTTAACTAAAATTACAATTAGCATTTGTAGTTAAATGTAACTAAACTTGGCTAAAAGCACACCAATTTATGTTTGTAACGTGAGTTTCTTTGTGGTTAAAATCATTTTAAAAATTACGTTTTAAGATTAGACAGACTAATTTGGAAAAATTGCAAGCTGAAATGCAAGCATCTGCTGTATGCTACTTTTGAACTACAAAGAACCAGATAGCAAGCTTTACTATTCATGTGGGTTATTACAACGCACCTTTTCAATTCAGCTCCGAATCAACAATCCGAGTTTCCATTTTCAGAAAATTCACATACTGTGAAAAAGCTCATTGATTGACTTCGTGATTTGAATCAAACTGTAAAGATACATCACCAGAGGACAGCAGATTTATTTTTTGCAAACCTGAAACGATATTCTAGCTCTAACAAATGGAACCACATACCGTTGTCATCCATCAGCGTGTGGTCATACGGCGGCCGTATGCTTTGAAGAGATCCGGTACCGAGAGCCCAGTCGAAGTTATCAGCCAGCGAACTCTTCCAGCCACAGCGGCCGTTCTCAAACGAGCAGGAGGTGCCACAGTCCTCCTCGTCCGTACCGTCGCTGCAATCGTCGGTGAAGTCACACATCTGCTCTGGAGTGTAACAGCTGCCTTTTCCACAAACGGAAGCCCCTGGAGGACAGAACCCTGGAAAAGAAGGCAAGACAATTCAACATATTTCACAAATTCAGATGTTTGCAACCAAAATTAGTTTTCTGTGAAGGTCAGTCTCTGGTCTAACTAAAGACGTTCTGTGTCGGTAATAGATGTGAGGAGCCAGGTAGTCTATTTCTGCCTGTATGCAAGATATTTAAGTTACTACCAGCTCAAAACATCAGAAAATACTAGTGATATCCAAGATGCAGCCATGCATGATGAGAGATACTATTAATAAAGTTTGTTTTCATGTGAAAAATGTAGCAAAATCCACATAGCAGTCTGGTAATGAGACACACCCAGCTGAAGTTTATATTCAGTAGAATAATGAGTTTCACATCAACAACCTTGAGAACAACAGAACTGAATATATTTCATGGGATTTAATTTCACCCCAGATTTCAAAGGTCATAAGATAATTCAACACAAAAATAACAGATGCTGTAACCCTTTTTTTTCTATTTGTAATTTTTGCAGGCAGCCTTGCAACAGACAGCAATTTCTGTAACTGTAGTTAAAATGTCCATTGTTTAAAACTGTCAAATTTCACATCTAAGGGTTTGAAAAAGAAGTAGAGAAATCTGGACTCTAAAGAAGCCACTTTGTGCATTTCACAAGATTAAACAGCATCCCAGCAGTGCAGTAAACCCTTAAGGGCACCCCTCTGCACACAGAGCTGTAGTTTCCTTAAGAAGCTTAGGAAGGACACAGGAGCATGGGGCTCTGAGCTCAAATCACTGTATCATTGATGGCGATACTTGGAAGGGGACAGTGGTGGGGGCTCTGCTTCTTTTGGAGCCAAACATTCCAGCAGGGTCAGTGCTTAGCCTTAGGGTGGGGGAAGTGTTAGAAAGGAAGAAGGGTGGTCTCTGTAATTAAAGGAGAGAAAAGGGGTATAAGTCCTTCCTAATCCTTTGTTCCTCTTGAGGTGCACAGAACCAGAAGCAATGTGACCCCAACAAAAGAAACACAGGAAGCCAGGAAGAGACAGCTCCTGACTCCCGACTGTCCCCTGCCTACAGAATCTGTGAGGGGAATTCAATTAGAGAGAAATCATATTTTTACAGGGAGTTGACTCAGACATCTTCCACATCAGTCACCACGACCCTATATTTGGTGCTCTTTTAATGTAACGCATGCAAAAAAAAAAAAAAAAAAAAAAAAAAAGGTATTGGAATCATATTTCTATATGAATAACTTAAGGGTCATGATTGGATCAGACACCCTGGGTGACAATATCTCTCCTAGTGGATGGATTTTAATTGAGCTCTACATTTTGCACAAAAAAGGCAACCGAATCATATAAAATAAACAGATTACCCAAAGGATTTTTAATCGTCTTTATCTGAACTATATGAACTATGCAGCATGAGGTAGGTCTCTACAGACTTTGCACATGAAAAGACTGAGATGTTAGTCAATTTTTTTTTCAAAACTTTCTTCAGTCAGTCAAATTGGAGTGTTTATGAACATCGATATTCAAATGTTGCCACAGATTCTCCATCAAAACTCTGGAATCAATGTCCTGCTGGAAGACAAACTGTTTCAAACTCGCTTGTTTTTTTTTCAAAGATTACGCAATATTTGGCTCAATTTGTTTGACCAATTACCCTGTTGTGAATTAAATGCATATTCCACAGGATGATGCTGCCACCACCATGTTTCACCACTGGCGTGGAGTAATCAGGGTGCAACTCTTATAGTCTTCATAGGTCTTTTTATTGCCATTGAGATTATTTTTAAAAGCAATTGGTTTTTCATTCAGGGGTGTCAGAATAAGTCACTGAGATCATATTTTCACCACAATTCTTTTATCTAAGTTTAAATAAGTACATATACTTTTGTAAAGCACTATTAGAATAACAAAATACTCATTTTACAATGAACGCTTTCTTTTAGAGTATGCCAGAGAAAAAAAAAAACAACAGTAGGAGAGACAGTTTTACTGGCACACACATCAGGAGCACCTTCTCCTGATGGTCTTCTTCCAATTATCAGCAAATGTAATAAAATGCTTCCAGCAGTTTCATTAATGTCTGTTTTAACAAGCTGTTAATGGCCTAAACAAAGAATTTATAAAACATTTGGTGGGCTATACTGCTTGATTCAAATTTTCTCGATTTTCTCTTACAGTGTCACATTAACTATATGCACACGGACATCCTCTAGTGGATGCATACATGACTGCATTTAAAGGAAAACAAATTTGCATGTTAATCATGAAAGCCATATAATTTTTTTTTTTTTTTTATCATCCATAAAGTGCCTGTATTATCATGAGCACAAATACAGAAACTGTGGGGTGCAGTCGACCTCAACGCTGAATCATGTGACGGTATATAAATTGAAGCTGTGGCAGAAAAAGCCCCTGAGGAGTGATAGTCTGTAATTACAGTTCCTGCTGCCTCTTGTCTCATCAGTATTACTGTACATCCTGCCAACACACAGACAGAAAGAGCTGCATTCGGCCACAGCTCTACTCCCTGCTGGCTACTCAATTACCGAGAGGGCCATGGATTTTAGCTCCAGTTCAGTCTTTAAGTGATGTTTTCTTTATTGCTCTCTTTGTATTTCTTTTCCTTACCTACTATATGTCCTCCAATTTTATTACCAAAATGTGTGAAAAAGTGATCAAAATAGATTCACCTTTCGTCTTAGCATAACTTCATATCTTCCTTCTGGCTCTGATTGGTTGTTTTTGACTGGGAGTGAAACATTTCTGCAGATGGCAGTAGGACCACAGGGAGAAGTTGGAAGAGCACAGATTTGTTACCTCATATTATACTGTCACAACATAGTGACAACTTTGATAAATATGTAAAAAAAAATAATAATAATAATTTTACTTATATTTAAGATTTACCCATTGCTGCATTAACTCTTTGTGTAGCCAGTGATGTTGTGGCCATTCTGAAGACAGAGAAAACCCCATTGCTAAAGACATCCAGCTGATTACAGAGTGAGGCAATAAACTGTGGGTCTGACACTTTTGTAATTATCCAAACTAATAATACTGTTCTGGGTATAAATGAGAGCACTCCTGAAAAACAAGAAAATGACCAAAAAACACTGACAGCATTAAAGTTTCGATCTTTACTATTTATAAACCCTCCTAATTATCTTCGCTCATATTGAAAACAAAAGCTGGGCAACACATTTAATAGTCCCTTTGTAACTACATTGACAGAGGCAATAAATCCGCTGCTATTGTTGTTGTTGTAAGGGTTCCCTCATAAAACATGTGAGTAATGTTGGAGAACTTAAATAGGACTGAGACACAGAGTGTGAAAAGATTAATTTACACTGCTTGGAAGATATTTTCCTACAAAACTTAACAAATTGTTTTATAACGACTGGATAAACCAGATTGTTACTGTGGGAATTTCCCAGCAGTTATAATTCTCCGACTGCCAAAATTTTCCTGGCAAAGCTGATTAAAATCGCTCACATCTACAGAGAATTGAGTCCGTTCCTAAAACCAGGGGGAAAAAAAAGGAAAAAGTTTTAATTGGGCTCTTGTGGCGTTTTTATCACGTTAGCAGTAATTTTTAAAATGTGTGATTAGATTGAATATCTGTCCTTAAGGAAACTAAACGTGCAGCTATTAAACGAAAATGTGAACAGTACCAAAGTCAAGGTATGCAAACAGCTAAGTAGTTCAGAAGAGGACTGAGCAACAATAGCAAATGTTTTATCGTTACGCTTTTAGGGGACAGACGTCGACTCAGTCTATCAAAACTAAGGTGCCACCTGTAAGGTCTGCAGTTTTCCGTTGTTAAGAAGCGGTCAAAGGTCACAGCTGTTACCTGGAGACATCAGACACACCCAATGTCTCACCGGATTTTATGGGGCTTAATAAAACTCCCTTTTGCAGCAGAATTTTTTAGTTGACACTTATCTGAAAGCACATGCAGCATTTCAGTGAGTCTTCCCATAGTAACTCTTCTACGTATCAAGTAATTGCTTTAAGGGCAGCCAACAACCTCAAAAAATATTTCTGACTATTTTAACAAGTGTAAGTTTGATTACAGAATGTCTGCCATATCATTCAGTGTGTAACACAACATTGTTTAACAACTACACCTTTTTACTCTCCAAGTGTTTAAACATGCTGTCCCTACCATGACCTTTTAGTAGTGGCAGAATTGTTTTTAGTTCAAACAATCAGAGTTGATTGTTTGAGCTACATAGGGGGCTATCCAATAAAAAAAAGTCTGTTAGAAGCTTCAAAAAACTTGAGACTGAGACACAGGATCACCTCTGGAAAGACTTGAAGTTTTCTGTTAACAGATGACCTCCAAGATAGTGAAAATATTCAGTCTTTCAATGTGCAAAACCCAAATACTTTGGAGGTTCTTCTACAACTTTTTTATCGTATATGAAGAGATATATTTAAACCATGTATCATTTACATTAAATCGCCCAAAATGTGTTAGTATTTGTGGTTTCAACAAATAATAAAAAGTCGCCAAGTTTTATGCATAAGAATACTTTTGGAATCCACTGCATGTTGCCACATTTTAAATTAGCTGCTGCCCTCCAGATAGTTTGTGATGCAGAAATGACTGATTTAGGCTGACACTCCTAGCAGCTGTCTAGATGAGACAGCGTCACCCTGGCAACGACTCGAAGATGGGGAAAAGATAATCTGCTAATCCAATTCAAAAGAAATGTCAGGGAATCACACCTGAGAGAAACTCTGAAGACCGAAATCATTCATATCCCTGATCATGAGAGAAGATTTCCCAATCTAAATCCCCTCTGTTTTTTTATTTTTTTTTTTATGTAGTTTCAAAAAAGAAAAGGCTGCATGTTAATTTTAATGTATTCTGAAGTGAACTTTACCTGTTGGAGGAGTAGGAGGAGGAGTGCTGTCCGTTACCAACACTGTGGGGGAGAGGAGGCATCCTGGAGAGAAGGTGATATCGTCCAGACAGATGTCTCCCTTTTCGCTGCGCCCCACCTTCCCTTCAAACACCACCTGGAAGTCTGCAGAGGAGCTCAGCTGGAGTTCCTTCATTTGCCAGTAGTTGCCCTGATCTCCAGTCAGGTTCAGCAGGAGGTGAAGACTTTCCTCGGTTTTAGCGAAAACACTGAGGGTTCCGATACCGTCTCCAGACATGTGATAGTAGAAACGCATCTACCCAGAAAAAACGGTAAATCTGTCAAGACCTGAATGCATTCTTATCATATTTATGCAATTTATTTAAACAGGTTTTATGTTGCTGTCCATTTGTGTCTATTTCATCACAAATATTTAGATTTTCTTAGGATTTTTTTACTGTATCTCACTCATATAAATGATCTTTGTTAAATAATTTAAATAAAACGTGACTTTCCCTTCACTGACACCAACAAGCATGGATTTGTATATGTATATTCATACAACATTTTTCTTTTTTTTAAAAAAGAAAGGAGTAAATCCAAATTTTCAACTTATGTCATTATTTATACATCTAAATATAAAAGAAATGATAAATAATAATAAAAAAACAGAACTGTTTCGTCCTTGTCATTTATTTCCGACTTTATTAAGAAATATGTTATATTTATTTCTGTGTTTACAATCCATCCTTTTGAATTTTAGTGTCTTACATTTTTGATTTTTTTTCTATTTCCTAACTGCATGGCAGCATTGTTTTCATAATTCTTTATGTTTGATTTCAACTAATTTTTTGCAAAGTAGTGGTTTAATCTAACTAATCTGGCAAATTTCTTGAAAAATGCAGACGTTTTAACTAATTACTCATTTAATTTAATTTAATTTAGTCTTTTAGGGTTGGCAAACATAACTGATTGTTTTTATATCTACTCACTCAATAAAGTCTAGTTGCTCTTTTTCTAGCTTACTTCTTTAACGACACAAAGATAATGTATTTCTCCAAGATTCAGATTTGAAAACACTGATGCTTTAAGAGCATCCTCTGAAAATGGAGGCTTTTTTCAAGAGCGACTGGTCTTCTGCTGTCTACTTCATAGAAAAATAAGCCTCTTTCTCTCCTCTCCATTTCCATGCTCCATCTTTCCTTCATTTTCATTCCTGCCTTCTCGCTGACTTTATGACTGATTGACGGGTCAGGATGGTGATAAGGTGCGCTCCACACAGAGCCAGCAGGGCAGTCAATCAAGAAATCAGTCCTGATTTCTACGAGCCGACAGATACGAGCACAGAGTTTTGAATAAGTGCATCAGCAAATTTTTTATTGTAATTTTTATGCTATTTTAACCCCAAAAATCTCATATGAAATTTTAGGTGCTTTATAACTACAGATCCAATCTATGATTTATCATTTTTGAGCAAAGTTTGGGAGAACATGTTTTTAACTCATTCAAAATTGATGTTTTGAATGATGCTTTGAATGCTCTGACTGGGATTTATCAATCCCAGTCAAAACGGAAAGACACAGCTCTACTATATAGATTATGAGCGGAAAAGTATGCTGATATTATTGGATCTAAGTATTGATCCATGGACTCAAGATCAGGAACTGCTGTTGTGATTTAAATTTCATCTGGATGAATTCTTCACGACTTTGTCATGTCTAACATTACAAAGTGATACATGGAGTTCCACAACTCAATTTAGTTAATTGGGGCCTGCCATGGCAATGCACATGCACAGGAGATTTTTTTTCTGATAACGAATTGCCACAAAGTATAAATCAGATTTTTAGTTTTATGTTGAATGTCTGTTTTATAATACTTTCACCACCTGACAAAAAAACAAAACAAAAACATTTTCACTTTTCTGAAAAATTCACGTACTGCACAATTCTTAAGTAGTATTATAAACAACAATATTACTTGTTATATTTCACTTTTGCTCCAAAGTAGACACTTAATAAATCATTTTATGATTGGCAAAATATACGTTTTGCGCTGCTCTACTCTACTAGTACTTTCTTAAAAAGAAAAGATCACCCTCTAAAATTTGGAGAGGGTTCATGTTGCACAAATGTTACTCTGTGAATGAGTTTTCTGCCAATGTTAGCATTGATTTTTAGCTACTTATTGTGACTTTTCTTAACATGTTTGTACAGTTACGTTATGACAATCTGATTTCAAAATTAACTTGAGAATCTGTACTGCCAATGTGGACTCACCTTGCACTGTGAACTCCTTCTGCTCAGTAAGGGTCCAATCACACGGGCAGCGTCACCCACCGCCTGAGGGAATGAGCTTTCCAGGTAGAGGTAGTGTCCAGTGGGATCTCTCAAGGTGTGGTCACTGGACGGGCCCGTTCCAAGAGTTGGGGTGCTGCCTGCTTTGATCAGCCAGTCAAAGTCGTCCTGTCGGCACTGGCGCCAAGAGCAAAGGTCAAACTCAAAATTGCAGCGTCCACTAAAGCCCTCTGAAAGACAACAAGAGGAAAAGAGATATCAACATAGGTTTTCAAATGATTTGGGAATCAATCTTTCCTCACAGATAAAAAAGAAAAAGAAAAAAAAACGTAAGGTCTCACTGCAGATGAAAGGGTCCTCATCTGAATTATCCCCGCAGTGGTTGATGAAGTCACACAAATTGTCCTGAGGGATGCAGTGGCTGTTTGCGCAGGCAAACTCCTCTGATGTGCACGGCTGGCCGGATGGAAGAACGGGGGAGCAATCCCGGAAGCTGACATCATCTATCACTACGTCCCCCATGTAGCTGATCCCTCGTTTCGCCCTGAACACCACCTGACATTTTTAAAACAGATGACTGATGACTGATAACTTAACATTCAAGATGAATCATGATCTGTGCATGTGTTTGCAATGTAGAAGAAGAAAACTGAGCATTTAAAATTAAATCAGAATTTTTTGAAGTTGTCAGATAGATAAGTAAGCAAAGGACATATGTGTAATTGCTTAGAATCTGAGTATGTCACACATTACAAGATCTTGGGTGCAAAAATCATCAGCAGACCTGAAAGTCATTTGATAAACCCAAAAACACTTCAGCTCGTTTCCATCCGTTGCCTTGGTTACCGGTCTGAGACCAAACCACATGGGTGAGGTTTTTGTGTCTGAACAGCACCTATGGAAGAGATAAAACATCTCTAACATGGTTCTGATGGGACATGCATTTTAACTCAAAGTTTCACTGGGGGTATTTACCTGCAGGGTTCCCACGGTGAATCCACTCATGTGGTACCAGAATATGAGGGTGCACTGTGGAGCAGTGGAGGAGATGACTGGTGTTTGGAGGTCAGAGAACTGACCATAGCCGCCATTTGAGCTGTCTGCATACATATACCAACCCTTAGGGCTGTTACTGCAGAAGGAACAATACAGAACAGCAATAATTCCGTTATTGAAAATCAATTGAATTAACATTTTCCAGAACTCTTGTCATTTTCCCCCCCAAAATTGCTTTGGACATTTCTAAATTATTTTACAACAAACTGTAAAACAACCACACCTTTTGACTATTTTCTATAATTAATATTTTGTTAGAATTATTCCTAGTAACACCAGTCAGTGGCTGCAAAGTGGGGCAGTTGGAAGCAACTGATGACTTGCAGCAAAAAGGCACTGATTTTTACCTGGGGTCTTTCTGCCAAAAAAAAAAAAAAAATCAAAAATTGTTGTTAATCATAGTTCATTTATGATTTAAAAAGAAAAGCATCACTACATCCTTACAATGGCAGTGACACACCTTCTTGTTTGACAAATGTGTTTTCTCAATCAACTGACGTGTTTTAAACGGACAGGGATATTTATCTCTGGCTCTCACAGAGTGTGGTCGTTAGTTGGACGGTGGTTCTGCTCTCCATTATGACTGCTTTCCCCCTGGTCAGCTGCCCAGCGAAAGACGTGGTTCACGCTGAAAGAAGGACTAACGACAGTCCAGCCGCAAGAAACGCCGCCTTCGAAATTGCATCTTTCCTTCACTGAAAGAGAGAGAGGCATGCAACTAGGAAAAAAGCAGGACAGGGAAGAATAATAGGTAGTAAAAACCACAACCATTTACCGCAGTTTGTTTCATCTGATCCATCAGAACAGTCCTGCTTGAAGTCGCACACTTGGCTGAGTAAAACACACTCGCTATGTGTTCCACACACAAACTGCCCCTCGGGACAATTGTTGGGTATGGCTGTCGGGGCCGGAGTGGTCAGTGGTGGGGTGATCGGAGAAGGTAGCTCTCCTGCAACACGAGACAGGGGGTGGGGGGTAAATAAAAGAGTGCAGAGCTGCTGCCCTGGGTTTATCTGATGCGTTGAAGGCTTACCATGAAACAGCTGACAGTCCAGGAAGGAAAGGTCATCGATCGCAATGTCTCCTTCAAAATCATCTCCAACTGTACCTTCAATTAAAATCTAAAAACGGGAAAAATTACTAAAACATAATAGGCAATAATATTAATTATTATTGTTGATTTTTTTTTAAATAATGGATAGATCATAAAAACACATCTCAGCATATCTCAGCTGTTATTAAAATCCCTGCAGTTCTTCAAAAATATCACATCATTGTTACAGGTTACACCATTATGAGCTATTGTTTCTTTTTTTTTATATCGTCATAATGACTTTGAATACTCAGGAATATGTTTCCAATCTAGGAGCTCACGTTTAAGCTTCTGTTTTTGTCCTTAAATGTTCTCTTCTTTCCACTGTGCATGCAGGCAGATCCCTCTCTGCCAGAATTAAATTAATCAGTGTCAATATTTTAAACGTTTCCCTGTCTGCACTCAATTAAATTAACAAATGGAGCTCCTGTTCCAGTGACACGGCCCAGGAAAAGTCTTTAACTGCCTGTCAAGTTGGAATCACTCATGAGTGATGACAACAGAACATCCATCTCCAGTGATCGATGCTGAGCACCAAAGCAATTAAATGGATCTTCATCACGCAGTGCTCTGGAATGCATTTGTAAATATGGACTCTTTGTTTCACTAGAGATTCGCTGCGAGCTGCTACGGATCTGTATTTACCCCGGACTCAGGTTTGTCTGTGCCTGCAAGGTGACTGCAAATGATTCGCAGTCAGATGTGAATGAAGTTATTAAGCTAGACAGTGAAGAAAATGTCTCAAGAACTTTAAATGTATTTTTTGTCTAATGTACTTTCAGACATCTTACAGTAGTGACCTGTAATTTTACAACACATAATTCACCTCTCACCTTTAAGTTCATACTGATTTGTAGAATAATGGTCAAATAAGACATCCTTGGATCTTAATCTTACATGGCTTTTGTAACCCTTTTGTTCAAGACTCTACTTTGAAATTAGATGTTCAGTATGCATTCTTGTGTGTGTATTTGGTTGGTCGTAATCCTAAATATTGACCTCTTACCTGGAAAGGGTGCGCACTGTGCAGGTACATAGTCTTCCTGTGCCATAGGTTTCCTTGGTTTCCATATTTTGCCCAGAGGAGCACGCCACGGCCTGTCGTGGTTGTCCTCAAGTACACCGCGAGGCTGAACACGTGCGATCCAAACATACAGTAATGGAAGCGAAAAGCACAGCGGTGGTGGGGGGGAAAAGGTGGGTCCTTGCCAGGCTGGTAGGTGGGTTCAAATATGGGGCTCAGCAGCACAGCTGTGTCCTTGAACTCCTGGGGGAGGGAAGACTCAATGTAGAGGTAATGACCGGAGGTGTTCCCCAGCGTGTGGTCCTTCCATGGGCCTGTGTTTCGGGTTGGAGTCGGGCCCTGGATGCGGGTCCAGTTAAACACATCTCCTCCACTCGTTTCCTGCTTCCAGTTGCACAGTCCGTCTTCAAAGTCGCACTGAATCTCTGGAGCTGTGAAAACCAATAAGACCGAGAAGATCTGAAATTGCAAACTTTAACAATTTAAATATGCCCTATGCTTTCCTGATGAGTTTAGGAAAGCATTCGATTTTAGATAGTTTGCCTACGATACTACATTCAAACTTTGCTGAAAATGTAATTAAAAGGCAAAAAAAAATCCAATGCAATCCATTGCTGTGAAATGTTTCAAATTGTCAAACTCAGACAAAGATCATTTCAGCAAATAGAACTATTTTGGTCATACACTTTGGGACTCTGGTCTTGTGTTTTGCTTTATTTTGTCAGTCTTTCCACGTTCAGTTCACTCCTTAGGTTTAAGATTCCTACTTGGCTGTTGTGGTAGTTGATATGCATTGTGAGTTGCAGTCCTTCTTACTTGATCTGAGGTCCTAATTTCCTGATTCTTTATTAGCTCTTGTGTTTTTGCTATTTACTATTTAGTTTCCAGATCCACACCAGATGTGACACAGAATGCATTTGTCCTAAAAATGTCCACTTTTGAGTCATTAAACAGAGTATTTTCCACAAACATACTGGAGGTCATCAGTATGTTTTAAGGAAATGCACAGTGGTCTTTGTTTTCTTTTTGGTCAAGCTCTTCTGCCTTGGAACTCTCCAATAAGTCATTTTGATCAATCTCTTTTTTTATAGTTGAATCATTAACTCTCATCTTAACTGACTGAGGTGATGCTGTTCTATGATTTAGATTTTTTTATGGGTGCTTTTGCCTAGTATTAGCCAACTACATGTTGTCAGCCAGGTTCTATTTTTTTTTTTTAGTTATTTAAGCAAATACCTTCTCGTATATATGGTCAGATTGGTTGGGATGGCTTTTTCCATTTCTAAATGAAAGTGTGATTTTTAAATTGCATTTTGTATTCGCTCAGGTTATTTGTGTCTGATATTAAAGCTTGTTTGTGGATCTGAAACATTTGAGATTGACAAAACAAACAAAGTCACAAGATGTCATATTCTCCAGCTTATTCTCGTGCACTTATAGACCTAATTGTTCTCACTTCAAGAAGTTGAGACACTCACAACACCCTTCTTCATCCGAGCCGTCCCCACAGTCGTCCACAAGGTCACAGAGCCGCAGGTGCTCCACACACGCTCTGGTGTGCACGCAGTGGAAATGCGTGTGCTCGGGGCACACGGCCACTGGCGGCGGCATCGAACAGTTCTTGAAGGAGACATCGTCGAAGGCGGAGACTCCGTCGAACACGCCGAGGCTGATTTTGGCCAAAGCAATCTGGAAGGGCTGAGTGATGCGCCCCAGCTGAATGGTGACCCGGTTCCACCGTCTCCCTTGATCGTACAGGGTCGTCCATATGACGGTCTTGTTTTGAACTCCTTTGAATCGGAGGTACATGTCAGCAGCGCCCACAGATACACCTGAGTTATAATGCCTGAGGGGATAAGAAGTAGATTGAATCTGAAACTCGGCTGATAAATTTATCCTGACACGGTAAGGAGCACATTGTAAGATAATATATCTATGAAATTACATACTCGTATGAGATACCCTAAATTACAGATTCATCCTATGATAATGCACCCCGCATGATCCCCGGTCACGATACGTGAGCAGTGAACAAATGTGAGCTGTGCAGGTTTTCATTTTCCAGAATTCCTATGACCATTAGGCAGAAAAACATAATCAGTCACTTAATATGAGCTTTTGGGACCATAAAAATGCCTGAACATGATTTATCAACATTCATATCTTATCCCGGCCTTAGTCAGTGGGGTGAAAGAAACATTAAACAGAGAGGGGAGGTTATTTTGAAACACCTGGCAGAGCAGCTAATCTGATTCAAAAGTCAGAGTGCAATCAAAAAGCAGAAACGCTTCAGTGAACTTAACAAGCAATATCCCCCAACAAAATAGGTAGTTATTATAATTTATTCAAGAATTTATTAGTAATATTAATTGTTACAGCTTCACTGTTGCCTTGAAGCAAAAAGGTCCTGGGTTCAAATCTCAGTCTGGAGTCTTTCTTCATCGAGTTTGCATTTGTTTTCCCTGAGGACTCCGGCTTCCTTCCAGAGTCAAAAACAAACATGACTGTGGTGTAACTACATTTTTATGAATTGCAGTTTGTGCTACAGATCCAGATGAAGTCTAAGCTTAGCGGTACAACACAGTGAAAAAGTGTGACTACTAAAATTACTTTTTGATTTAAAAAAAAAAAAAAAGTTCACATTGCAAAGACAAATGATCCTTTTAGTTCAATCATCTCTGACTTTCACAAACATCTTTAAAGTCCCTGCCTGGTCCTCTTTGAATATATACTGAGTGAGTAAACATTTTGAACATATCTATGTTTTATTATTATTACGTAAGATGTGATTTGGAATTGGTCAAACAATGAGCAGTCTAAGTTCAAGAAAATAATCTCTATTACTCTGCAGGTAAGACATTAATAAGTACTCTTATCGTTTCCACAGAACCCTGCCTCTAAAAAGATCTGGGCTACCGCTAAAGATGGCAGCACTTTGAAAAGAGAAGCAAAGGTGGAGGAATGGTTGATACCGCAATACAGTACAATCTATGAGTGTGAATGATCTCTAGTTGTATGGTCATGTTGAACAATGTTGAACGTTGTAATATTACAAGAAAGAAAGAAAAATAGTCCATAGAGGGGAAAGGATGTCACATGTTTCTCACCAAAAGGTCATGGTGCATCCCGAGGCTGATTGCTGGAACCAGGGTCCAATGAGAACAGCATTTGGATGCAGACTACTGCTGTTTCTCAGTATAAACATGTAATGACCTGCGGTCACAACAAAAATAAATAAATCTTGGTCAACATGCTTCTAAATCCTGTTTTTTTTTTTTTCTTCCTGAAAGTAATATGTTTGACAGCACAGTCACATTTCAACTAGGTAGTTTGTTTACAGATAACTGTCTACACCTTAAATATTCCCACTTGGCCACTTGAGCCAAACAGATCAATTTTATCTACTTCTCCCTTTGGCTTCATGTCCAAGTTGCCATGGTAACCTGCATCATTGAAAACCTTAGTTCCTCCATAGAAAATCTTTATTTAACCCCACTTTCCCTGGTCTTAATTAGAAAGAACAAAGCAGATGTTAGGATGCAGTGCCATCAGCTGGTGACGGTGTAGGAATCGCTGCACATGACTGTGAACAGCAGCATCCTAGGATCAGAACAGTGCTATGACTTTGTGTTGATGATGCATATTTTGCCTCCAAACATATCCTGAATGCATGGCAGTCATCTTCAGAGAAATTTGATCACGTCAGCAATTAATGGTTATTGGTTAAAACTAAAGCATCCTTCTCGGCAGTGGCGATATTGAATGCTGTTAAACACTACATAGGAGCAATAGCCTTTCTACAGAACAATTAGTACTAATTAGTTGTCAAATCATAACAGAATTTGGCAGCATATTCTAAAGAGGTTTCAAATTATATACATATGTCAACGTTAAACACTGTGTTTCTGTGCCTTTTTCAGACCATTTCACTCGATAATCATAACAAAAACAACAGATGGTGCTTGTTTGGAGTCAGCCAGCAACAAAGTTGAAGCTGCGACTTTAAACAGTTCTGTTCAGGAAAGAAACAGGAAGATGTAATGAAGCATGATAAACAGTAACATATTGTGTGGTAAATGAGCAAAATAGGCTCTCGTGTTAACTGTTATTCAGACGGCTGAGAAGGTAACGTCTCCACGTTTGGAGCACATTGAACTACAATGTTTTTTCAACAAAAGCTGATTTTTCCAATATTTTTGGACGGGCTCAGTACAGTTCTTTTCAACCTTATCACATGTCACACTTCTTTGTTTTTCGTATTTGTTCCCTCTACCTTTAGTGCTGTTGGTAGTGTGGTCCGGTAGGGGTGGGTGACCATAGTAGTCCGGCGGTACCTTGTCAGATGAGCCCCTGATCCAGTCAAACCCATCTCCAGGAGTGAGCTCATACCAGCCGCATGAACCGTCCTCAAAGTCACACTCAGAAGCTAAAAACAGAGAAAGAAAACACTGTAGGGATGCTGCCCTTCTGGGTAATCAGTCCGGAAAGGCAACTGTATGTGATTAGGCTTAATTGAACCAATTTACAAACTCCATAAACACTTTAGTTGTTTATTGGTGCACTATAATTTAAATCAGCTGCATCTAATTGCTTAAGGATTGATATTTTATGTGCTGATGGTTCAGTACTACAGTGTTCAAAACATGTTATTATGATCAAAAGCTTTAAGTGGACCTGTAAACAGATGAATTTAGCAGCTATGCAACTAATGAAGTGGTGGTACAGTCCTTTTGAATCTGACTGACTGCACACATAAGGCAAGACAAGACAAGACAAGACAAGACGAGACAAGACAAGATAAGATACGATGCAAACATCACTTAGCACTTCTGAGGAGAATAAAATGTGTTTTCTGTTTGCATTTTGTTCTTATAATCACTGTAAGAGTCTATAAAAATTAACTTTGTATACCTGCAGCAGGTAACAGACTGATGAACCATTACTGTCCAATGCAAACGCACATCAAAACGACTGAGCTATGTTGCTTTTTAACAGTCTGATGGCAACAGAGGGTGTCAGATAAATCCTGAAAACATCTTTCAGTGGAACTGAAATGTGATCATTTCAAAGTGTTACTTAGTAAAGTGGTTCTTACGGCATCTGTCTTCATCTTCTCCATGGGAACAATATGGTGAGAAGTCACACACTTTGCTCTCCTCGATACACCCCCCTCTAGCGCAGGTGAACCATGAAGGAGGGCAGGGAGGTGCAGTGAGGACTCTGCCCTCTGCCAAGTACACAATAAAAATAAGAGATTAATACAATTAATCAAATTTGTTTGAGTCACTGTTGTAATTAAAATATTTCCTTGAGAGAACGTGCTCAATTAGCATAAATGAGCGCGGTGGTTCCCAAAACGAAGCAAGTGCATTTGATTAAATTGCAGTAATGGTTCAGATTTTGATCAATAGCACAGAAAAGACGCCATCGCTTAAATCAACTCAATGGGACTATATGAGGAGCAAGAGGAAATATATCAAAACCATAGCCCAGTTTTTTTTTAAATCACTGTTAGCTGACCTCAGAAATTAATCTTTTGAATGTTGCCATTTTCAAAATATATTCTCAATGACCTTTAAAATGACTCATTTCAAACCCTAAGATGGCAACTGCATTAAAAAGCATATAATATATAACAATTTAATGAAATTCTCTTTTTAAAAAAGATTTAATAGGTACAGCACGGGCGTGTTCAACCTGTCTTGCCTACTCTTTGCTAACCAAAAATCCTGAATGTCATACGCAAGTGTGTGTCGCTCAAAGAAAGCAAAATGCCACTCTGATTATCTTTTCTTGTTAATGTTCCAATGATGGCAATCTCTGTTCTTTACAATCAAAAGTGATTCCAGAGCACGAACAGATTTAGACAGTACAAACACATCAGTTAGCTATAACAACAGTTCAACATCAGTAATCTTCCAGAAGGTGACTATGATTACATAAAGAGAGACTAAATTTGACTTCTAAACGTTTGAAGTAAGGGTCTTGGGGAGATCTTCTGGGGTGCTTGAACAGGACAGTGTGCTCACCACACATGTAATGGAGCCTGCATGAACAGTGGTAGCTCATTATAATTATGCAAGCATGCGCCTTTGTGTGCACCCTGCATTGTTTGGTCATTGGGTCATTTTAGCTGTGGCCAAACAGGCCTTGTGTTAAAACTACAACAGGATCACAGCAACATAATGCTGTCCACATTCCAAGAAGACTCATTTAGTGTAATGTTTGGCTCTGCTCCTGCAAAGAGAATAGGGTCTTTTTTATTGTTCTTGAAGAAACAAAAAGAATCTTCTCAAGTACCAAAAATGCACCATACAAAGTGTGATTAGTGTTGGTTTCGGTTTGCTTATTGAAGCCTACAGTATTGAGCCCATTCAGTTTGGTCTGGTTATAGTCTAAAAGGCTTGCACATAGACTTTTCACAGTCTGCAGTTTGTCTTTTACATTAAGTGTGATAATTCTGGTTCTTATGGTCCTTTGACACACATGGCTTAGATTTTTTGCATGCCTGGCAGCTTCTGATTAACTTAAATTGAATGCTGATGAAGTAATTAACTCAGATATGTTGATGCAAGTCCACATCTAAAACATAAAGCAGTGGGTCCGGGGTAACCCAGTCTGGAGATGACTGGTTTAGTGAATACCTTTTGTTCACTTGAAAAAAAATGAGTCAGAGGTCAGAAAGGGGATGGATGGATGGATGGATGGATGGATGGATGGATGGATGGATGGATGGATGGATGGATGGATGGATGGATGGATGGATGGATGGATGGATGATCTGTTGTCTTTTTCGTTGCTTTTTCAGATTACATTGAACTCCACATATTAGATAAGTTGTGAAAATGCTACAAGATGATCTTACAATTGTACATCAGCAGAGATTGCTGATAAAAAATTGTGTCTGAAATGTCACATAAAGTACGATTTATGGGATCAACTCCTCCACTATTGCATAACGTCTATGTTCACTTCCAGAAAGAAGTACAGCAAGCACAATTTTAATGACTCAGTTATCCTGCTATAAATCCAATCATGGGTGTTTTAATGTCCTCACTCTCATTCATCGGTATTCAAAACAAGCTTCTGTTTATGTGTGAGGATATTTCAAAATGTCAAGGTTCATGTGGTGTGTGCGTGTGTGTGTGGTGAGGTGTTAGAAAGCTATAGCTAATACCAGGCAGAATGACACATCCAGGACTGAAAGACAAATCATCAACGGCTAGGACCTCAGATGCTTCACTGCTGGCTGAAAGTTCGCCTCGAATTACCACCTGGAAGATAAAACAGTGAAACGATGTCACACACATCAGGGACAGTTTTTTTTTTTACTTTATTATTATTAGTTTATTACAGTTTAATTAAGCTGAAACTACAGATGAAAACTGGTTAAAGAAAATTCAGTAAAGAGTATTGAGTTGGTTGATGTGCAGAAAATGTTAGGGTCAAATGGAAAAATAAAAGAAATGTATAAAAAGCAGCAGGTTTCACAATATGAAGAAATAGAAAACAGAAAATTAACTGCAGTTGGATAAAATTAAAAACAAATCAAGGCAAATGGAAAAGGAAGGTGAACTACACCTGCCATGCAAATGTATCTATCATAATGATCTAAACTGGCTGTCATGTCAGTCAAATGTTGGTTATATATTTTTTTTATCTTTTCCAACAAAAGCAGAGAAAGAGCTTATAAATGCAGTGCAGTCAGTACCAATAATATTAATGGTACGAGTACTGTATGGTAATATGCATTTTACTGCAAAAGTAAACAAACCTTATTAAGTTTTTAAATGTTGTCATATTACAGTCACAAATTTCAATGCATAGTATTCACATTTATGTGATAAACCAATACGAAGAAGGGTATAATATGATACTTTAAGGCAGAAGTGTCAGAGATCCACAGCTCAGGAGAGAGTCAGCCAAAAGGGCTATTAGTTATCCATCAAAGCGATTAATGAAAGAAATCTATAAGGAGCCTTACTTAAAGATTTCCAAAAGCCATTTAAGGGAAATGTTTACAAGTGGAAAAGATACTCTAGTTTGGTGAGACCAAAATTAGCCTTTGTCAGCCTACCTTTAAAATTTAAAAAGGTTTACAAGATATAGATACATTCACAAGATATTGTAGAATTTCATGGCATTTCATCTGCTCAACCTTCAGATATTTTTAAAGACAAATTTCCTGCGTGAGTGATTCCAATTTCCATTTTCAAATTTAGGCAAATGTGTAGATTTCCCATCCTGAAAACACCATAAATAATAATAATAATAATAATAATAATAATAATAAAACAATCCTCCATCAGCAAGCATCTCTTTAGGCCTCACAGAGAAATCTTGCTGACTAATACCACTGAAACAGGAAGTGAATTAATGGCGCAGAAGGTGAATGTCAGCAGATGTGACCTCTCTTTATCACCCGCAGACATCCAGATGGTAAAGAGGCAGAGAAGAGGACTGGGTGACACTGACATGCTCTGAAGATATTGAAAGGACACTAACAGCAAACTCACATCCAGATGGTCTCCGAGGAGTCCAAATGGGTCAGTGCACTTCCCCGGTACACTTTGCTATCGCTTGGGTCGTTTAAGCTGCAATTTTCAGTTTTAATGTCAAACAACTATGTGAACTCATTATGTAATTATGACAGACCTGAAAGCGCTGATTGCTGGAGAAGTGAACCGCTGCCCGCAGCCATGCTCCCTTCTCCAGTTGAGTGGAGTGTTTCCAGAGTTCAGAGCTCTGAGCCACCAAATGAGGCTGCAGGAGGATCTGAAGCTCTCCATGTGCTGTCCCAGCATAGTGGTAGAAACGTATCTGATGAAAACAAAGAACATATTGGCCCTACTTATTTTGAATCTACAAAATCCCTCGTTTCCAGATGTTGCGTGTTTTGAGACTTTCCAAGACTCGAATTCTTTAATATCCTAATGGATTTTTATTAGGACATCTTTGACGTGCAAGTCCAAAGATTTATTGTGACCTAGTTTATTTTTCAGGGTTTGAAGTCTAGCATCAGTATCTTCCCTGCCATGTGACAGGCTGGAATTGCTGGGGTTAGGTAACAATGCAGTGGTGGTAGAATGTGACTTAACAATCGGGAGGTTTTTGAAACGGCTCATTTTTCAGACTACATAACACATAAACTTTTTGCCAAAAAAACAGCTGGGTGTTTTTTTTTTGTTTTTTTTTTAATAGAACCACTTTACGAGCTCCAAAATTACTCACACAACCATTTTGAAACTCCAACATGTCATCCAACAAGAAATATATTTTTATGACAATAACTACACAAGTTGTGTATCTCGTTACTTCAAGATAACGAGGTGCACACCCTAGCTCTGCAGGTTGGATTCAACATAATGTTATATCAAGAATAAATCTTAGTCTTATTTAGTAGTGTTAATTGTTAACAGTATATCAATTTATTATTAGAGCATTAGGTTTTAGCGTTCTGGAAAATGGATCACGGGGAGGAGTTGTCAAATGAATCCTTTAATTATCCAACATACTTAACCGTTGTGGTGTAGCAAAGGGTGCAGGTGCCTATAGCCAGCGGTCAACGGGCAAGTGGCAGAGTATACCCTGGACAGATTGCCACTCCGTTGCAGTAAAGTAAATCCTACTATGGTATTATTTTTCTATATATATTTTTCCAGACTTGAAAAATGCTCCAACTATTTCCTAGACTTTTAAAGACACTGCTTGTCCTCTGCGACATAGTTACCTGGCAGCCATGAGTAGGCAGGAAGACAGGACTCCTCAGTTCTGCAGTGATCTTTTTTCCTCCAGTGGGTGAAAGCGACAGAAAATGTGCTGAGGGTAAAAAAAAAATGCAGACAGTTAAAGACAAAGATGTGTGATTAATACAATGTTATTGTAGGAATATCAGCTTCCCCAACCTGAGGCGTTTCTGTGGTCCTGTTTTAGTCCTGGGGCCTCTGCTGTTCTGGTCCATCTGTAGAGGGACTCCGAGTTTTGGATCAGATCACAGAAACTCTCCTCGAAATCACATCTTGTATACGCAGAACCTGTAATATCAAATGTTCACTTCAGCTAAATATTTTCTTTCAAAAAAAAAAAAAATTGCGGTTTTCTCTAGAACATATTAAACAATACCCCTTTCTGCCTTAACGATATAATTTAAAATCAAGATTTTCAAGCTGAAGTGACTCAGATCTTCAGATATTTCAGATATCTGAAATACTATGGATGGTTTTTCATCCATAAAACCACTCGTGGTTTTATGAATGAAATGAGAATGCCTTTTAGAGCAGATGGATGGGCCCGTGGGTGGATCAGTAACGGGCAAGAAGCTCCACATAAAGTCAGAAACCAGCAAGGTGGAGGTGGGGTAGATTAAAGATGAGCTGGTTGGACATTTTCAGGTTGAAGATGGGCTCAAAATCAACTCCTACACTTACAGACAATACTTTCTTCAAGCAGTGATGCAGGAAGAAGTCTGCATCGTTCAAAAACTCAGTGATTATTATGCAACACAGCTCTCCATCACAAGCATCCAAGCAATCCTCTGCATGGTTAACCAGTAAAGGTGTTAAAGATGAAAAACTAATGACATGGCCACCCTTGAAAACTTGTGGGCAGTTCTTGTCAGATAAGATAATATCAATCTTTTACTTAGTGGTCAACATACATGGTGGTGGCAGCATCACATTGTGTGGATGTCTTTATTCAGCAGATACAGAGACGCTGATCAGAGCTGTTGGATGGACCTAATGTTGTCCTGCAAGCAAAACCGGCCAGTTTTGAAGATTTGGGTTTGTTTGGAAGCCACAAGAAGTGGCTGATCCAACCACTGACCATGACTTTCTCTTTGTGCCAAATTGTTGTTGAAGCCTGGAGTTTGACTGGAAGTGGTGGATTAATTGGACAATGATCACAAATCCAACTCAGCAACAGAATGGCTTAAAGACAATTTAAATAGGGTGTTGCAATGGCCCAAAGTCCATACCTCAACCCAAATGATTTCCTGAGGAGGTAGTGTAAGGTATACACTATATCCTCAGGTTTTTGGAGACTTTTGCTTAAACAAAAGTCTCCAAAGGGCAATGAACTGAAGCAGCAACAGGTCTATAGCTTAAGTATTGAATACTACCAGTTATTGCTGCTAAATTTAGTTATACAAGCCTATAAAACCATGAGGCGCATTTGGGTTTTCTCGCCACTGGCTAGTCATTACTTGAGGTCCCGCTCTTTTAAATTCTGGTCTGTTAGAGTCATATGTTTTTTTAGTAAACTTACAGTTTTCTTCATCGCTGCCGTCTCCACAGTCGTCGGTGAAGTCACACACGGAGTCCAACGCCACACAAAGTCCCTGACGGCAGGTAAACTCCTGATGTGAACAAGCACTAACAAACACCGAGCTAATTAGCAAATTTCGGGCCAAAAGCAGCCACACTGTGCCAAGCAGTAACGCCATCCGCTGGTTATTTTATCCAAAACACATTATTATCAATTCCAATTTTAGCATTTTGCTTCTATCACTTAAGGAAGACGTGTAGTTGCGTTTCCCTCTCTGTGCGCAGTGCTGAGAGATATGACTGACCATGTGGGTTGTTAGCATGTTGTAAAGGGCAATAAATGCTTTTTTTTATGGCTGTTAGCTGTTATTCAATAAGGTTACTTTGTGAGTTTATCTGTTACAGCAGAATAGAATAAAATATTTCTAAAGCAGCTCAGACTTTACATTAGAATAAAAATGTATGGAAAAAAAGAGAAAAAACAAGTTTGAAGTTTTTTCAGTGTTCCATCTAATATATTAAAAACTGTTTACAAATAAAACCATTCGCTTGTGAGTGGTGAATATTGGATTTTCATTCACTGATACTGATTTTATTCTAGCCGAGATGTCTTGGGTGTAATTTGAAGTTGGCTGTACATGAAGACAGACATTATACTTTAGCGCCATCTGGTGGTAATATTTTTTCAATAACATTCCACCCATTTACTTACATTCTTTAAGTCCTGTCCTTTTTGACTTTGAGAAAAATAAAGTGTATATTTTATGTTTTTTCTAGAATCTTTCACTTTTTTATACTTGATCAAGTATGCTTTTCAGATGACCTGCAGTGTTTTCTTCTGTCCACGGTCAGTTTTATCTACCCCGACTCGTTTCCATTAGGTTGGCACGGCAACATATTATTTGCATGGAGTACAATGGCTCAAATGAGACAACAAAGGTATTATTTACTGGTATGACATAGATCCACTGCTTAATGAAAAATAAATGCCATTCGGGTCGGAGGGCAGCCTGGCAGCTTATCATGACCCCTCATTAGTGCCGCTCTTTTTCCACAAGCACAGATGCATCAAAACAAGACGAGAGCAATTTGAACCTTTATTATTTTATAAGCCTTCTTTTGAAGATATTGTATGCAGATATTGAGAGAGCTGGTAAAAGAAATCCTTTTTGGTGCTTAAAAATATTAAAATATTTCTTTTTTGGTTTTATAAGAGCCTCATGAGACTCTGGAGCCACGGGTTGCAGACCGCTGGTCTGCTCTCTTCCTTCTGTGCCCAAATCTCAGGATATCACAAACACATTTTAGGTGTTCTAAACCTCCAACCATCAGACGGAAATCACGTCATTACTGGAAACAAGCACACAGCGCTTTGTAAAAATGTTCATAGTCCTGTAAATATTTCACGTTTCGTGGCGTTAATTTTGGTAAATGTTGCGAAGGTGAAATCAGTTGTGATCTCAGCTTATTTTCATGTTTTCTATCCATCCAGTCTCTGCTTTCTACTCTGTGATCTTCAGCATTTTAGGCAAAATCATTGGCATCCTGTCTGAGCATCTGCTGCTGTGAGACTGTGAGACTAGACATTACATTAGCACGTAAAACTTAATTCAACACTTGGTATATAATAGCCAACAACTTTTGCATTCCAAACACACTTTGCAACATAAATAATACACACACCGAAATGGTATATTTGCGATACATCGTGCAGCCCTGCCATGCAGCATCATGTGGCTCATAACTGAAAAGGAAAATTTCATAAATGTTTAGAAATAAAATGTAAGAGGTCACAAATTGAGATTTTAATTTGTTAAACATTTATAAGCAATGTATAATCTTCCTTTCACTTCACCATTATGCACTACTTAAGTGTTGATTCATTGCTTTTAATCCCAATAAAATACAGTTACGTTTATGGTTGTAATGTGGCAAAACGTTTAAGGGATGTAAATACTTTCAATTGCACCTTAATTGATCTAAACTGGTTAAATTAACCCTAAATATTCCATTTTATGTTGCTTTGGCAAGACCAGGCAGAGTGGAACGGATCAACTGAGGATCCCATCCTCGTTGTCACGGTTTCGTGTGCTTCGTTTGAGTAAAATCTGCCGCGCCCCGACTATGAAAGTAATTTGTGACTTTCAGTATACAAATCAGTTTTATAAAAATAAAACTGGCTTCATTTCAGTCTTCAAGAAAAGACTGGAAGTAAAAATGGAAGTAAAGGAGAACATGTTATCAAACTTTATTAAGACAAACTAGTAACAAAAGTTTTGTTTTCAAACACAAGAAACTTATTGTCATATTACATGCTGCTAGATTCTCATATGAACAGCAATTTAAGACTGATTTGTTGTAAATTGGTCCTGATATTTATTTAAAAAAAACATATTGGTAGATGAGTGTCAATGAAGCATAAAGTTGTGCATTTTATATGCTACAGATAGACTATAACTGTGTAGTTAAAGCCTGAAAGTGTCACATACCGGGTCAGATTAAGATTTGTGTGGATTTGGCTCTTGCTACAAACATTTTTTTTTCTCCCAACCAAGAAGAAAAGAAAATCTGGTTAACCAGGATTGTCTTATGAAACAGACTCAGAAGGGAGAAAATACGCATGAAAAATTCCAATGTGTTTTTTTTTCATGAGGTTTAACATGATTGTCAGGTTTTCTTTCGCTGGTTTGATAAAATAATTAAAGCCTCCTTGCCCCTTCTCTAGTCCACCATGTCTTTATCAAAATTAAGCAGGTCACAGGTCAAGACAAGGTCAGAGCGTCCGCTGTCCATCATCACCTGGCTGAGCTTGTTGCTGGTTGTGTTACTGTCTACGGATTCATCCAGAGGCCACTCCAGCAGCTGGGTGCTAGAAGGCAGCTCGGGCAGCCCCGGCTGGTAATCCTCCAGAGCGTTTGGGTAGAGCAACAGTCGCAGGCAGGGCATTCTTGCTGCCGTCCGCATCAAATCACAGAGACCCGCCCTGGACAGGGGGTTCAGGGCTAACGCCAGGCTCTTTAGGGCCCAGCAGCCGCCCAGCGAGGGCAGCAGCATGCCCAGCAGGCGGTCGGTCAGACCACAGCCGCTCAGCGAGAGGTGCTGCAGGCTGCTGGAGGCCTGGCAGAGGAGGCGGCGGATTGAGGGCACCGTGGTTTCATCCAGACAGTTCTCACTGAGATCCAGCTGCAGCAAAGAGGAGACGTGATGGCTGCAGGACAGATAGGCGAGGTCGGCTGGGCTCAGGCTTAAATAGGGAAGCTCCAGGACCTCCAGGGATTGAGGCAACGAGCTATGGGAGAAGAAAAAGTTAAAACCTTTAATATGGCTCATTTTAAATTTAATCTATATTTTACAGCATTTTAGGTCCACAATGTAGGGCATAGCTACAGAATGAAAAGATAATTTTAACAAAATGAATCTGAAAAGTGAGGTGTGCATGTGTATTCAGCCCAACAGAGACTACTCTGCAGAATGACTTTTCGCTGCAATAACACCTGCAAGTCTTATGGTTTCTACCAGCTTTCTGCATATAGTTAATGAGATTTTGCCTTGTTTTTCCTTTGCCAACTGCTCAGCTCAAAAGTCGTTCCACAGTTTCTCATCCAAAATAAAATCTAGAATTTGCTTTGCTCATTCTAACACTCAAATACATGTTTTTCACGCAAGCCAACCATATAAAAAAAAAAAAAAAAAACACATACGAGGAGATCGAAATACCTGAGCAACACCCGCAGCTGTCCTGGAAGCCGCAGGGCAGTGAGGCTGAGCTGTCGCAGTTCTTGCAGGTTTGAAAGCCCCTGTGACAGGTCCCTCAGGACCCCCTCCTGACCGAAGTTGTCTCTGCGAATGTCCAGGTTGCAGTAATGCAGCCGAAGAGAGTTCAGCTTGGGGAAGGTGGAGAGAAGAGGCAACAGTTCTGCTAACCCGGCCACACCGAGGCTGCTGTAACGAACGTCGATGCCTAAGAGCGCCCTGCGAGGCAGGAGGTTTAGCAGAGTCCTGATGCTTGGCACTGAAATCTCTTCCACTCGCAGGTATCTGCACTGCAGCTTCAAGGGTCCTGACGTGCTCAGAGCCAAGCGAACACGCTCCCAAGAACGGGCGTTGACAAAAATATCAGCCCTAACCTGCACCAGCACCTCCCAGTCGGCCTCTTTTTCTTCCGTTTCAAGTTTACCACCCCTTGAGCCCGTCACTACAACCCCTCTTTGTCTTTCCATCTCCATCCTCCTTCTGACCCCTTTTATAAGCTCTTCATCACTGACAGGACTCTCAGATCTCGTCTTCTCTCTGCAAGTCTCACCATCCTTTAACTCCTTCATTCCCATCCTCTGCCCTCTTTCTCTTTTTAAATCCCTTCCCCTCTCGAGGGCTGAGAATCGTTTCCTCTCTCGGTCTCCTTCTTTCCTCTGAGTCCTGTGTGCTCCAGCTTTGGCCTGTATGACCATGGTGCAAAGGGCCACAGTAAGTGACCAGCCTCCCATCGGGTCCCCCATTCCTCCCTCGTCTCCCTGCAGACCACAGACGTCCAGTACCTGCAGGGCTGACCTGGAGAAATACAGAACACAGATCCAGATCTTAGCTCCAGTGCTTCACAGACCTATTCATGCAACTTCAAGAGATTATCAGATTATGTGAGATTTGTGAAGTATGTGGTTATAATGTGAAAAAAGGTGACAAAGTTGAAGGGTTACGGTTTTGAGATTAAGGGTGGGCAATGTGGATTTATTATTTTATTGCGATATTTTGTGAACAATAAAGCTGACAAAACAAAAACTATACTGATTTAGGTAACTAAGTAAGTAAGTAAGTAAGTAAGTAAACTTTATTTCTATAGCGCTTTTCACAGAACAGAGTCACAAAGTGCTGCACAAAATGTAAAAACTAAATAATTTTTTTACACAGCATCCATAGCACCACAAACGCAAATATTGGTATCCTGGTATCGGTATATTAAAATTAATCACATACAAGTAGAAGAAATCTGCATTTTTGATACTGACATAATGCATCAGGGAGCCTTTTTACTGACAATGCCAAACTTTAAGAAATACAGAAATTAAATAAATAAAGAAAAACAGTCAATTCTCACCTTTGGTCCGCCAGTCCTCTGACCACAGCCAGTAACAGAGCCTGGATGCAGAGCCGACTGGGCGCAGTCTGCCCAGTTTTCCTCCGTCCTCCGACGCGGAGAGTCCGCTCAGGCCACCGCTGCACCAGTTCGCCCACCGCCAGCGGTCTGCAGCAGGCGAAGGCGGCCTCCAGCAGCGCCCCGTAAAGCTCCCTGGGAACCCAGCGAAGCCAGGTGGGTGACGAGCTGTGGTCACTGACCACCTCCCTGGCACAAAGGCTCACC